TAGCTTAAATTGTCTTTTTTCAAGGCTCAAGGTCTTTTAAGACCCAAGTGTTTTCCAGTTGCCTTTGCAAATGAATTAAGAGTTCACTGCATTCCTCTGACCCTCTTCCCTGGGGTTTAGATGGTGAAACTCAAAAAGCCTTCCTTCATGCATTCAGCTTAGAGAAGGAATAGAATGATACATCAAGGCAATATCTCTGAAAGCTGAGATCAACAGACTATGATTAAAGTCAGCTTGCAGTTATATTGGCTGAGACTGTCACGCCAGCTGCTCGTAAACCCCACAAGATGATGGATGTCTTACTGTTATCCTTACTGCTCTCCAGAATTTATTAGCAGAAAAGAAAAATGGGGAAAGGTTATAACTCTCAGAAGTCCAAAATTCTCTTTGCAACAGTGAAGAGTGAAGGCTTGGATGTCAGTTATAAATGAATCACTGGGCATTTGTGGGGCACAGGGAGGAGTGTCAGAACCTCAGCACTCTAATCAAGAGCGGCAGGAGCACCTGCACAGAGGGTCAAGTGAGTGTTAAGAGGGCTTGTTTTGCAGGTGTATTCATCATTCTATCCTGAGAAATTTAGTTGCTGTTGAAAAAAAACTCTTCATTAACATTAGGGAAATGAAATTCCATGGCCCTCACTCACTGTAGGGGAATTAAGGGTTATAGGGAAGGGAAATCCTGCTTGGGTTCAGGAGTAAGGTGCGGGAGTTCTAGCATCATGGAACTGGTGAAGGACTACGTCGCTGGGGATCTGGGAGCAGCTGCTTTGGGAGGCAGAAAGATAGATTTGGATCTCTCATCTTGGGTCTTGATGCTAATTTCCTTCCTTTCTCCTGCCCTCTCCTTTCTCCTGGTGAGCTAAGAATAAAAACTCTGGAACCTGCTGTTTTATTTTTTTCACTCAAGAAACTGATTAATGAAGGCTGCTGGGTTTAATAAATGGCTGTCTATTTCAGCTTAGAAAACACTATTTTGGGGAGTGGAAAAATATTGGCAATCATTCACCTTGTGGAGAGCTGCATTAGTTTGCAAGTTGTTAAAGGAATAGGCTTTGATATTAAAGAAGCTTTGGTTAGGATACGTGTTCCTCCACCTGGGATAGGATATTTAATAGCTGTGTGACCTTGAGTGGTTACTTCACATTGTATGAGCCTTAGTCCTCTCGCCCAGGAAATGGTGATTAATGGTACATGCCTCTGAAGTTTGCTGTGGAAATTGAGGAAGAGACTTGTAATAGTAAATGTTGGATAAATGTGAACACTCTACATGACCTATTTATTTTCTACTTTCATATTTTCAAAAGGAAGATAGAGAACGTATTTGCTTATGGGTACATTGGTTTTGAGCTCTTGCTCATGGTTAAATTTCCTGCTGAGTATTTTCTGGACTCCAACTCATTATTGAGTCTGGACAGTTAACATCACCCCTATTCATTTCTGTCTGGAGCACTCCCCTCTCTTTCTTGCCTTAGGAAGTTAAAAATGAACTGATGTGGCTAGAAAGATTCCAAAGGGGGGAAAATGAACTGATATTGCAGGGAAGTTTGCTTTAATTTCCTGAAGAGAAGCTGTGGAATAATACTTTGAATACTTATTATTTGTTGAACCTGGTCAATGTTAGGAATCCCATGCAGATTGTCTAAAGGTGCCATCTTTGTCTTAGGACTATGTAATCAAAATGAGCAAGGTAATCCCAGATGCACAAGTCAGCTTTGTGTTCATAGATGAGGTGCACTAATAGCCTAGATATTGTATTCGATTGCATGAGTACCTCATTCAAGCACTGTCCCACTTTAGCCTCTTGCAGCCTGACTACTGTCTGTATCTGGAAAATGGGAAAAACCAGCCAGAGTTTAATCCAGAAAACAAACTACTCTAGGTATTTTAGATAGAAGGGAGAATTATCTGGAGATTAGGTTCTCAGGAAATTGTTGGAAGGGTTAAAAGAAGTAGGCTCTAGACTGGCTAGAGCTAAGAATGGCTCCTGGAATATGACAGAACTGAATTACAAGGAAAATGACTAACCAAACCCCAATTAGGGAGGGCAAAGTCTGAAACCATTGACTTTAAGGACAAAGACATAGCTGTAATCAAGAGATCAGAAAAACAGCATCTGATCTCTTTGGGGGACCAAACCATGTGGACAGTGGAATCTGGAGTCTGGTGATCTTCATAGCCCAACTACCCCTCAACACTCACAAAGGCAGAGACTAAGTACTGATACACAAAAATCTTCCCTGCCAGCAGAAAACAGCAAACAGCGGAAAGACAGCTTCTGCCCACTTCCACCTTTTACATTTCTGATGAGTGCATCTAATTGACAGAACCTAAGTCATATCCAGTCTCCTAACTAGATTCCAGAAAATGTAGTGCGTGTTTGTTTATTTATTTATTTATTTTACTTCCAGCCTCTGCAACATTGGAAAGCACCCTGGAAATGTAACCGTAGGACCAGCTCAAACTGATTAACCATTGCTTAAGTTGTTACAGGTGACAAAGAGCCAAAATTGCCCAGGTTTGCACAATAGGAAGGGCTTTGACCTTCTAATTTAATACCACCAGCCTGGCAGACGAGCTGCATTGGCATCACCTGGGACTAGTTAGAAAGGCCGTAAAAGCTGGAGCTACTCCCAGACTGGAGAGACAGTTATGAGTGTTGCCTCCTATCTCCTTGCCAGTTGACTTGAAATAAAGTGTTTTCTTTTCTCCAAAGCTGGTGCCTTAGTATTGTTTTCTATCTGCATTGGGCAGTGAGCCCATTGCTTGGTAACAATAGGTGAGAATGGATGTTGAGCCACAGTCAACCAATTCCTGCACACTGTCCTGCCTGAGTCCCATTATTGTGTGTTCATCTGTCTCTAATTCAACCACATGAATTCAGCAGAACCAAACCAGTTCACTAAGGTAGACAGAGAGAGAGAGATTTAAATATGGGAGCAATTTTGTTGAACATTTAACTCAAGGAATGAGCATCAGATCTGAAGTGAGTATGAGACGGAAGACATGAACTTCTTGTTTCCTCAGGTGATGTCAGTACTGAGGTACCTCTCACAATATGAGTCTATATACTCTGAATAAGTGAATAGAGTGATTAAAAAGCCATATCTAGGGTCTCCACTCCTGAGGTGGGTAATGAGAGAGGAGAAAGGAAGAAACCAGACAGGCAGGCAGTTAGGGTGGGTCCTTGGTTGAATTATTTCAAACAAAAGAACAGTATGCAGGCATAGATAAGGGAACTTGCACAGGGGGACTTGCCTAAGACATGCTCCCAGCCACACAAATAAGAAAGGCTACACAGGTGACTTGTCCAGACATGCCCACAATGGAAAATTACATCCCCTAACACATGTACAGTAAGGGGAACAAAGCAATATGGAGTAACTCAAGCTAAGGGCCTGCATATGCACTAGGAGGACAGGGTGGAGCTACCAGAAATTCACACTTTATGCAAATGAGATGCTCAGTCCTCCTCGGTTTCTTATTAAAGCCGTTGCATTCAACTGTAAAAATGGCATCCCTCTTCCTGGTCTTCTCTCTGCAGCAGAGAGCTTTCTTCTTTCACTTACTAAACCTTTGCTCCAACCTCAAAGAATAAAAAAAGAAACAGCCATATCTTAGTCAAAATCTGGCCCCTAACAGAAGGCCAAATCCCTTTGTGTTTATAAGATAAAATGATAAATACAAATAATACTCTAGGGAAGTAATTTTTTTAAAAAACCTGTTTATAAATTTTTGCCTTCCTGGCTGAAATTTGAGGCCCTTCCTCCTTACCCTCCCGTAAGACCTAGCTTTATTGTATTTCACTGAGAATTCAGTGATAATCAACTCAAATGAGCAGTCATGTGAAAGGATGTTGCCAACTGTAAAGTCCTACATATGTCAGGTGTTATTATCACACCTAGTGCTTTACATGTAATAGGTACTTTCAACATTTTGCCAAATTTTCTTTATTATTTTCACCCTCTCTTCAGGCAATATATACATATATATTATATATATATGCATATACATATACATATATTTTTTTTCTTCTGAACTATTTGACAAGTTTTAGAAATCATGTCCCTTTGTCCTTAAATACTTCTGTATAGGGCCAGGCGTGGTGGCTCACACCTGTAATCCCATCACTTTGGGAGGCCGAGGCGGGCGGATCACAAGGTCAGGAGATCAAGACCATCCTTTCTAACACGGTGAAACCCCGTCTTTACTAAAAATACAAATAATTAGCCGGGCGAGGTGGCGGGCGCCTGTAGTCCCAGCTACTCGGGAGGCTGAGGCAGGAGAATGGCGTGAACCCGGGAGGCGGAGCTTGCAGTGAGCTGAGATCCGGCCACTGCACTCCAGGCTGGGCGACAGAGCGAGACTCCCTCCGTCTCAAAAAAAAAAAAAAAACTTCTGTATAAATTTTCTAAGAAGACTATTCACTCAGAATATTGACCATTGATATACCACTATTTAATCTACAGACCTTATTCACATTTTGCTACTTTTCTCCATAAGTTTTTTTTTTTTTTTAAATACCAATGCTTTTTTTCCATCCAGGATTCAATCCAGAATTATGCATATCGTTGGGTTTTCTGCACTTTCTTTGATTTTCAGGACTGTGACATTTTGGAAGAAATCAGGCCAATTCTTTTTTATAGAGTCACTGAAATTGGGTTTTGTCTGATGTTTCCTCATAATTACATAATTAGAGTCAGGTTATGTGATTTTGGCAGGAATAGTACATAAATAGTTAACATTTCTTGAGCTAAGTAAGCAACTCAAGGTGGATTCACTAAGAAGTAGTTTGAAGGTCACTGGACAGAGTCAGTCAATGTGGAAGCCGAAAGACTAGACCAAGTTCTGCCGTTAACCAGGTGATATTGAGTAACAATAATAAAAAGGATGGTGATGATCATCATAATGATAATGACTTTATTTAGCAGCATGAAAAGTGCTTTCATATGCATTGTCTTATATAATCTTTCAATTGTCTCATGAGGTAGAAATGATTCTTACTTTATGGATGAGGAAATTGAGGCTCGGGGAGATCGAGTGGCTTGCGCAAGATCACATAGGTGGAAAGTGGCAGAGCCAGAGGCCAAATCCAGGTCTCGAAATCAGACTCTGAAGCTTTTCTTTCTAAACCAACATGCTGGAACAGAAGTCACAGCACGTTCTTGGGAATTCGTCTCTAAAAGGAGAGGAGTGAATAAAGCAAACATGTAACGCAGTACTTCTCAGTATTTTGGACTTCACGAAGCAATAAAAATAATTTTTAAAATTGGAAAACAGACACAGGACTTATAATACTTTATACTGCCAAGTAAGGATATTAAAATACAAAAATAAAATTTTTATCTAGCATCAGTACTGTTTCATAAAAGAGAGGATATTTTAATATAAAAAATAGGAAAGTAATAATCTCTAAAAAAGAACATTCTTTGAAATGGGATGTATTAGTTTTGTAACATACTTGGTACCTTGTCATTAATTTTCCCACTTCACTGGGGCCTCGTGAAAGATCTGACCTGAGCAGCCCTGATCTGTGGCCTGGCATCGGGGGAACACTGTTTTATGGTGTCTTCCTGCTCTAGTGTCCAGTGGCTTTATTCTAAATGACAAAAGTATGTGAGCAGGGAGAGGAGCGGAGACCGGGTTTCACCATGGTCGAGACCAGTTGGCTAGGCTGGTCTTGAACTCCTGACCTCAGGTAAATACAACATAATGATTTGGGTAGAGTAGGAATGGAATAGCACCTGTTCGTGGCTGAGAGCCTAGGGTAGAAAGTTCCAGGAAGCAGCTGCTGTCAGTTAAGTTAGGCACCCATTCCGGCACAGTGTTTTGTTTTGTTTTGTCTTTAATTTTTTTTTGATGACTATTTCTATTTATTTGTTTATTTGTTTATTTATTTGAGACAGAGTCTGGCTCTGTGGCCCAAGCTGGAGTGCAGTGGTGCGATCTCAGCTCACTGCAACCTCTGCCTCCTGGGTTCAAGTGATTCTTCTGCCTCAGCCTCCCCAGTAGCTGGGACTACAGGCGCATGCCACCATGCCCAGTTGATGTTTGTACTTTTAGTAGAGATAGGGTTTCACTGTGTTGGCCAGGCTAGTCTCAAACTCCTGACCTCAAGTGATCCACCTGCCTTGGCCTCCCAGACTGCTGGGACTATAGGTGTGAGCGACTGCACCCAGCTGGGTGATTTCTATTAATGCGTTAAATAACCAGGTCTTGAAGTGGTTCTAATTACTCCCATAATTTCAAAGTAATAATAATTATAAACAATATTTTGCAATATTAACTGTATTGTGATGCTAAAATACCTGTGATTATTATAGGTAACAAAGTCGCAGGTACTGTTACCACTACTGAAGTGTGAAGCCTACAGTCATAATTGAAGGAAAGGCACATTTTCAGTTAGAGGTCAGTGAAATCAAGATGTGATTTTTTTCCCATCTGAGTTCATAGATTCCCTGACTTCTTTTTGTTTTTTTTTGAGATAGAGTCTCGCTCTGTCACCAGGTTGGAGTTCAGTGGCGTGATCTCGGCTCACTGCAACCTCCGACTCCCTGGTTCAAGCGATTCTCCTGCCTCAGCCTCCTGAGTAGCTGGGATTGCAGGCATGCACCACCACATCTAGCTAATTTTTGTATTTTTAGTAGAGATAAAGTTTCACCATGTTGGCCAGGATGGTCTCGAACTCCTGGCCTTGTGATCTGCCCACCTCGGCCTCCCAAAGTGTTGGGATTACAGGCATGAGCCACCATGCCCGGCCAATTCCCTGACTTCTATCCCTCGGTCCCTTGGAGGGGAATGGAGGGTGGCGTGTAGGAGGAATCTGAGGACCCCAGATCAAAACCCCTATTTTAAAAAATGTATTTTTATAAATAAAGGGTACAAGTGCAGCTTTGTTACATGGTATATTGCATAGTGGTAAAATCTGGCCTTTTAGTGTACCCATCCCCTGAATAGTTTACATTGTACACAATATGTAATTTTTTACTTCTCACCCTCCTCCCAGCCTTCTCATCTTTTGGAGTCTCCATGTCTGTTATTCCACTCTGTGTGTCCACATGTACCCCTGTTTAAGTCTATATTCCCTACCTACTTTTTAATCTTCCATTCGTGTCTCCATTTTATGATCCCTCAAATATCTAACTGTGTATAAGGGTAAGCAATCTTTGTAGCATGGTTTTTACCCTCATGACCCAGGGTGACTATTCTCACGAAAGTCACCCATGTTCCCCCAGGTTCGAAGGACCTTTTCCCATCTCTACGTTACTCCATCTCTCTGCAGCCTCAGACACCAAACCATTCCCTCCTTGGAACTTTCTCCTTCCTGGGCTTCTGCAATATCCTTCTCTACGCCATGACACAGTGGTTTTAAGCCCTCATAATGGTGGGAGTTTTTTCAAAACACAGTGCTGGGGCTCTGTTCTCTGAGTATTCTGGAGGGAAGGTTTGGGGTGGGGCCCAGGCATCTGTTCAATGCTACCTGAGGAGTTCCAGTTTGTACCAATTAAGAATCACTGCCTTTGTTATTTATGAGTGCTGGATGTATGTTTTCCACTGATAACTATAATAAGAATCATCATAGCCATAGACTTAGGTATGTTTTTCTCTCCTGCTGAGTTTTTTTTTTTTTTTTTTTTTTTTGAGATAAAGTCTCACTTTGTTGCTCAGGCTGGAGTGCTGTGGTGCCATCTCAGCTCACTGCAACCTCTGTCTCCCAGGTTCAAGCAATTCTCCTGCCTCAGCCTCCCGAGTAGCTGGGATTACAGATGTCTGCCACCACGCTCGGCTAATTTTTATATTTTTAGTAGAGACCAGGTTTCACCATGTTGGCCAGGCTGGTCTCGAACTCCTGACCTCAGGTAATCTGCCCACCTCAGCCTCCCAGAGTGCTGGGATTATAGGCGTGAGCCACCGTGCCTGGCCTCTCCCACTGAGTTTTAAAGCACAGCTCTCATTTAATCTTTTCTTGGCTTTATTTCTGACCCTAAAAATAAAAATAAAACAAAAATTCCACTTCCTTCAATAAGGAGATGTATATATTAATGAGGAAATGTCTACAAAATGCTTGCAATATCTGGAATCAAATGTATTTTGTAAGAATAAAAACAATAATTTTCTTTCTTTCTTTCTTTCTTTCTTTCTTTCTTTCTTTCTTTCTTTCTTTCTTTCTTTCTTTCTTTTTCTTTCTTTTTAAATGAGGCAGAGTCTCACTCTGTCACTCAGGCTGGAGTGCAGTGGTGTGATCACAGTTCACTGTAGCCTTGACCTCCCAGGCTCAAGCGATCCTCCTACCTCAGCCTCCTAGGACTACAGGTGCGTGCAACCACATCTGGCTACTTTTCGTGCTTTTTGTACAAAAATTTTTGCAATGTTGCCCAGGCTGGTCCTGAACTCCTGGACTGAAGCAATCCACCGTCCTTGGCCTCCCAAAGTGCTGAGACTACAGGCCTGAGCCACTGTGCCCTGCCAATAATAACTTCTCTGTTTTGGAAGCAAACAGGGAGAAGGCAGAGGTAGATTATACATTCTAGGGGTGGTTTGTAAACTGCTGATTTATGGCCAGTGGTAAGCAATGTTAGTCTATGTATGAGGATGTGAAACAAGCAGAAAGTGAGTGTTTGCAGGTGTGAGTTTATAGTTAGGGGATATAGATAGCAGAGCATTGTCATAGAATCTTAAAGAAACATTGACTCAAAGCTGCAAGGAATCTTAGAGTTTTCCATCTTCATTCTTTATCCCCGTGATCACATCCAGTTAGGGTCACATTATGACTTTCTTGGACCCCTGGCACTTCTGCTTTTGCTCCATAGGCCGAGATGAGCGGATCACAAGGTCAGGAGATCGAGACCATCCTGACTAACACAGTGAAACCCGGTCTCTACCACCTGTAATTCCAGCTACTTGGGAGGCTGAGGGCAGGAGAATTGCTTGAACCCGGGAGGCGGAGCTTGCAGTGTACTGAGATTGCGCCACTGCACTCCAACATGGGCTACAGAGTGAGACTCTGTCTCAAAAAAAAAAAAAGTATCTAAAATTATATTTTATGACAGCATTGGCATAAAATCACCTGTAATCCAGGCTGGCTTTATGATTACTTATTCATTATTATATTTGTGTTTCCTTTGGTTTAAAAAAATTAAAAGTAAAACATTTTTATGGGCCCCTAGAAGCATCATGGGCCCCAGACACTTGCCTCCTATGTCTGATGGAGGAGTCAGCCCTGCCTGAGAGAGGGAATGCACTATCTTATGAAACAGCCCATATATTTCCATTTAAAAACCATTTGAATTGATAGAAAATTTGTAATATCCATACACACTTCTGTCACATTTTTCTAGTTCTTTTCCCTAGAGACAGTCTCTTCCCTCTGTCCCATGTCCTATGTACTAGATCCTGGCTATTCAAAGCGTGGGCCGTGGACCAGAAATATTGATATCACTTGGAGGCTGGTTAGACATGCAGAATCTCAGGTCTCATCCTGTACCTACAGAATCCGAATCTGCATTTTAACAAACTCCCTACGTAATTCATATTCACACAAAATTTGGAGAAGCACTGTATTGGAGAGAATAATAATAGCAAACGTTTATTGAACACTACTCTACTGGACATCATTTTAAGTGCTTTATGTGGATTGTCTAATCCTTTCAATAACTTTATTTTTCCTGTCTTACAGATGAGTAAACTGAAACACAGAGAAGCCAAGTGACTGTCTTTATCCAGTGAAGAAGTGGTGTGCAGGAATTCAGACCAGATGGTGTGACTCCAGGAGCTATGCTCTTTATCTCCATGCCAGTCTGCCCATTCTCCTGTGCCCTTCTCATTTGAGAAGTTGCTGCTTGCTGCCCAGCTTACAGTTCAGGTTGCCAGGGTGGGAGCAATATTTTTCATAGCACTTAGTCCAACCCTCTTGTTACAGCTGATTGATGACAGGTAGATAGATCCCTCATCAATGATAGTCTATGGCTATTCTGCAATCTGTCACTCAGGTGGACTCTCACTCCGTGGTATTTAAATGAAGCAACTTGGAAATAATTTGCTAGTTGTTAAGGAACAGGAAAAAGTGGATGGTGGCCTGTAGATGAGTCATATTTAAAGTGACTTATCTATTATAAAGGTATTAGTGCTTCTGCTACTTGAGTGTCTACAGCACCTTCAATTCAGATCCAGTCTCCCACTCATTTCTCTGGGATTCCCAAGCCTATTATGGCTCTATCTTTTGAATTTCCCTGGGAGTCCTTTTATTGTGCCACAAGAAGCCCTGCAACAATCTTGCTTTACTTGAGCTAGCTCAAGTGGGTTTCTGTTTATTATCCTAAAAGCCAAACTACAAGAACACACATTCACACATTTAGAAGCACTTGTGCATCTCCCTGAGCTACCCCTTCTCCAAGGGAAGCACCCCAGGTTCTTTCCATCAATCCTCATGCCATGTGTTCACTCCTTCTCTTGCTCCTTTCCCTCTGGACCGTGCAGTTGTAGCATTTGCAAATGGACTGATACAGAGGCTGGAATTGGAAGCCATTTTTATGGAACCATTTTATGGGTAAAGAGTGAGCCTGCCAGCCTCAAACTTTCTTTCCTAGCACCTGGCAAGACTCTTCCCTGGAGCCTTAAAATTGATTCTGCTTACATGAGGGCACACTGTAACTGGAGTTATGACTAACAGCTGAGCGCATGCCCCCTCCCAATCGCCCTCCACCCCCAAATCGGTAAGAATAGGCCCCTTAAAAAAAAAAACATTGGAAATTGGGGCGGGGAGTTTTTCCCAAGCCTGTCCTAGCTTGAAGGCATTTCAAAGGAGAAACCCTGGTGGACTGTGTCTCCCCAACTCTGGGGAAGAAACTGCAAACTGGCAGGCAACCAGCTTGCAGCAGTGGAGAGGAACTCCGGCCCATTCCCCCTTGTGGTTGTCGTGTTCAGGTCAGTACTAACTTTAGCCCTGCAGTCCTCAAATGGGGACAGTCCACTAGTGGATTAAATCCTCCTTAAATGACTTAGAAGCTTTTAGTCAGAGATCAGAGGAAAGCAAATTATTTCATTTATTTTCTGCTGATACACGATAACTTCCGGGGAAGCCATTCTCCAGTGTTTTGCAGAATAATAACACTTTCTATTCATATATCATTGATCTCCCAGGAGCTCAAAGTTCTTCACAAGCATCTTATCAGCTAATTTCACCTGGGGTGCTTGGGAAGGAGGGAGGAGGCAAGGACCACGTTTGCTTTCTGTTTTTTGTTGTTTTTTTTTTAACTTTGAAGTGCAGGGGTACGTGTGCAGGTTTGTTACATAGGTAAACTTGTGTCATGGGGCTGTGTTGTAGATTATTTCATCACCCAGGTATTAAGCCTAGTACCCATTAGTTATTTTTCCTGATCCTGTCCTTCCTCCCACCCTCCACCCTCTAGTAGGCCCCAGTGTGTGTTGTTTCCCTCTATGTTTCCATGCGTTCTCATCATTTAGCTTCCACTTACAGGTGAGAACATGAACCCAAAGGAATATAAGTCATTCTATTATAAAGACACATGCACACAAATGTTCATTGTAGTGCCATTCACAATAGCAAAGACACAGAATCAACCTCAATGTTCATCAACAACAGACTAAATAAAGAAAATATGGTACATATATACTATGGAATATATGCAGCCATAAAAAGAATGAGATCAGGTTCTTTGCAGGGACTTGGATGGAGCTGGAGGCCATTATCTTTAGCAAAATAACACAGGAACAGAAAACCAAATACTGCATGTTCTCACTTCTAAGTGGTTGCTTTATTTTCTTCCTTGTGGTCATTCTTTTAGCTGAGACCTCTGTCCCTCAGAAAGAGAGGTGGGGGTAAGCAATGCTGAGGACTTTTTCATTATATAAATTGGCTTCCGGTGTTGTCCCTCTACCGACTTCTGCTAGGTGTCCAACTACCCACCATTACCCTCTTTTTGTAATTTACTTGCTTCGTTTCAATGTGGGGTAAATACCCTCATGTTGGGTTGGAGAAACTGGGGGCTCAGAGAAGCTGTGCAGGATGATTGAGTTCTCATGCCAGGCTATGGGTGAGTCTGAAGCCACTGTTATCACATGTTCAGCTACTGACATGTCCCTCCAAATTCTTCCTGCCTGCAGTGTGCAGGGAGTGGTTACAGAGCTGAGGTTGGCCATAACTATCTGAATCTGAAAAGATGTGTCCAGAAGCACATTTGAGGATAAAAGAGGGACGCACACTTGAGCCTGAAGGCCTGACCCCAAATTGGCTGGCCAGCTCTCTGAAGCGGCTCTTTTCAGACCCACATCCTGTGCAGTGCTCTGCAGATCAGGCTGCCTCTCTGGGACTTGAATGTTTCAAAAAGGATCTAAAGGGCCTTTCAAATGGTGCCGGGACATAAATAGCTTTCACAGAGGAATGTTGCCTCAGTGATGCGATGACTGAATCAGCACCACATTGAATTTGCAGCAATCTGGTGCTCTGGGTAATGGAGTGATGGTAAATGAACATTATTACGTTTTTACCCCATGAATGAATCCTTAATAAAAAAGACAAATGGCTTCCAGGTGTCTTGCCACAAAATTTCAACAACTGAGTCACTCAAGCTGGAGGGAAGAACAAAAGGCAGTATAGAATCTCCTCGTGATTCAGTGGCCGCCAACTTGGATTGTCCCCAGTTCCAACTTTAGCATCTTTCTTTAGTCATCCTACTGCACAGTCAGTTCCCCTTGTGTAAATGCACAACAGGAGGAAATTCTAATGAAAGGACAAAGCTGCCACTGTCCCATCTGACCAAGCGTCCCCAGAGAGAACAGGCTCCCCATACAAGGAAATACTGTTCCTGAGAGGAACCACCTGTGGCTCGTCTGTGGCCGGGTCTTGAATTACTGGCCATTCCGGAGCAGGACCGATTGATGTGCCGACTCCTGTGGTTGCTAGGATGTAAGGTAATCCCTCAGGAATGTTCTGTCAGCTGGCTCAGCCCAGCCTCTGCTGTCCTGTCAGGAGGTGGGATGGTTTGGAAGTCTTGTCTCTCTCATAAACTAACACTGTGACATGAGGAGGCTTGGGATCTCTCCGGCTCTTAGTTTTCTCAACTGTGGGATTCATGGCCAAGAAAGGAGTTGGGAAAGAATCTGGTGACAAACACAAATGCCTCTGGGGGTCAGATAGGTGATAGGAGTGAATGGATTGTCTGGTGTCAGACAATAGGAATGTTGGCGCCTATGATGAACTGGAGAATAAATGCCTTGCCTGAAGATGTTCAAATTCAAATAAAACAAAAACAACCAGAACCCAATATTGTAGGCCAAATAAAATGCCAAGGGGTTAAGTTAATCTGATGACTAGAGTTTCCAATCTGTTGTGAAAGGTTGCTTCTAGTTTTAATGATCCAGCCTTTATCTGGAAGTATGTATTCTTACATATCAGAATTCCTAATTCAATTATGTATACGGTATATCTTTTTGAATGTGAGAAAGTGTATGTACCTAATTCTGGGAATAAAATTCAGAGGAAGTTCAGACCAATCTCGGCTTTTATAGGCTAAATCATAGCAAAAATCATTGATCTTAAGTTGTTGGTTAGAAAAAAATATTAAATGTATGTGATAGGATGTGACTCAGAGCTCATTTAAGCTCCTCTGAGCCACGGCTCTGGGAAGACAGGGAAAATGAACCCCTTTTTAATCACACACTCCTCCTGTTCAGAGCCTAATTATTTTTCATCTGATTTGTACGTAGGCACGTGTGCAGGGACTGTGTCTGCCTTATTAAACACTGTACGTGACCCTGCTACCTGACACCTAATAGGGCCTCAATACATGTATGATAAATAAATGAATGAGTTAATGAAAATAGTAGTATGCCTAGGTTTTAGTCTTTTCTCTTTTAAACTATCAAATAAGCTATTGATTGCATAATTTATTTTAAAAGCGTAGATGCAATCTTGCCAATTCTTGACTCAAAGCCTTCTAAACATGCCACATTGCCTACACAACAAATCTCAAACTTCTTGGCATGATCTTTATTTCCATGCTCTGATTTCTTCTTTCTGTTTCATTCTATCTTCAAATGATGTTGCTTCCCCCGCCCCCATATCATACCCCAGCTTAACTGCTTGTTCCCCAAACAAGTTCTTTTCATTTTCACGACATTCCCTGTGTAATGCCCAGCTCTCCTTTTTCTCCATCAAAATGTTATCCATCCTTCAAGATGCAAATGTCCTCTCTCCAGGAAACTTTGCTTTATTTAAAAGCCAAATCAGAAATAATTTCTTTCTTCTCTGCTGTTTCTGCGTATCTCATATAAAGTGAGTAATACATTCTGCCTTAAGTTGTAGCTATTTATATACCCACATCCTCTAGAATCTAGAGTCTAGATAGTATCTACTCTAGTATCTAGAGTCTAGATAGTAAACTTCTTAAAAGCATAGACTATAAATTGTTCTTCTGTGCCTACTTCATAAACATGAAGGTATTCAATGCATTTATGTTGAATGATAAAACTGAAAAGTCTACATTTGTTGGTTGTTTTCAATTGATGGAGAAATTTTGGTGGCTATCAGTTTGCAGTTAGAGGAACCCTCAACAAACAAGTTTACTGAGAGAACAAGATAGTCCAAGAATCCAAGGAAAAAGTGTCACCTTTTGTGACAGAATTGTATAAAAATATATAGAAAAATGTCAGAAGCAATTCAACCTAAGACATAGGGTATGGTTTGCCAATGGGTTTAAGCATCTTCCTGTTGATTATAAGAAAGAAAAATCATCTGTAAAGTCAAGGATCTGAACTATTGTTGATGTAAAGATGGGTAGTACTACAAAGATAAGTTCCAAAAAAGGATATTGGTCTGCACAGAACCTGGAAATAAAAAATTCGGACATGGGAACTATCACCATATCTTTATTGTTGTTCAGAAAAGACGGTAGGCCATTTTCACTGTCCAGTTCCAGTTTTGTAGAGTAAAAAGAAGAAATTTATTAGGCTTCCATAGCCCAAAAGAAAGAGCTGTTAAACATATCTCATACTATGTGTTCTAATTCTGCATTCACTAAGTAATGTGCTTGGTCCTGTTGAGAACTTTTATGTATAGTATCTTACTTAACTTTCATAACAACCTTCTGAGGTAGGTATTAAAAGCCCCATTTTTAGATGAAGAAACAGACTAAGAGAGGTTAAGAACAATGAGAACACATGGACACAGGGAGGGGAACAACACACACTAGGGCTTCTTGGGGGATCAGGGGAGGGAGAGAGTCAGGACAAATAACTAATGCATATATAGGGCTTAATACCTAGGTGATGGGGTAATAGGTGCAGCAAACCACCATGGCACACATTTATCTGTGTAAAGAACCTGCATGTTCTGCACATGTATCCTGGAACTTAAAGTAAAATAAAATTTAGAAAAAGAGAGAAGTTAAGTAATTTCCTCAGTCACCCATCAGAATATGGTAGAGCTGAAGATTTAATGCAATCTCTTTGAAAATAGCCATGACATGCTTAACAGAAATAGAAAAAAAATTCTAAAATTCATATGGAATCACAAAAGACCCCAAATAGCGAAAATAATCTTGAGTAAAAAGAGCAAAGCTGGAGGTGTCACACTACCTGATTTCAAAGTATACTGCAAAACCATAGTAACCAAAACAGCATGGTAGTGGTATAAAAACAGACACTTAGACCAAAGGAACAGAAAAGACAGCCCAGAACTAAATCCATGCATTTAAAGCCAACTCATTATTGAAATACCAAGTACATAATTGGGAAAGGAAACCTCTTCAATAAATGGTATTGGGAAGACTGGATATCCACATGGAGAATAAAAAAAAATTAGACCTTCCTCTCTTACCATATACAAAATTAACTCAAAATATATTAAAGACTTAAACATAAGACCTGAAGCTATGAAACAACTAGAAGACAACATAGGAGAAACATTTCATGACATTGGTCTGGGAAAGGATTTTTTGGATAAGACCTCAAAAGTACAGATAACAAATGTGAAAGTAGACAAATGGGATTACATCAAACTAAAAAGCTTCTGCATAGCAAAAGAAACAATAGATAAAAGAGACAACCTACAGAGTGGGATAAAATATTTGCAAACTATACATTTCATAAAGAGTTAGCATTCAAAATATATAAGGAGTGCAAACAACAGCAAAAGACCAAATAACCTGATTAAAAAATAGGCAAAAGACCTGAATAAACATTTCCCAAAAGAAGACATACAATGGCCAGCAGGTATATGAAAATATGCTCAACATCACTAATTGTCAAGGAAATGCAAAATAAAATCCCAATGAGATACCATTTCACCCAGTTAGAATGAACAGTATAGAAAAGACAGAACAAGTGCTGGGGAGAACATGGAGAAAAGGGAACTCTTATATACTATTGGCGGGAATGTAAATTAGTGCAGCCCTTATGAAAAACAGTATGGAGGTTCCTCGAAAAATTTTAAATAGAACTACCATATGATCCAGTAACTCCACTACTGGATATATATCCAAAGGAATTGAAATCAATATGTCAGAGATATCTGCACTCTTGTGTTAATTGCAGCACTGTTCACAATAGCCAAGATGTGGAATCAACTTAAGTGTCCATCAACGGATGAATGGATAAGAAAATGTGGTGTATATACACAATGGGATACTATTCAGTCATAAAAAGAATGAAATCCTGCCATTTGCAACAATGAACCAGAAGGATATTATCTTAAGTGAAATAAGCTGGGCACAGAAAGACAAATATTGCATGTTCTCATTTACATGTGAAATCTTTACAGAGTTGATCACACAGAAGTAGGGAATAGAATGGTGGTTGCCATAGACAGGGATGATTAGGAGTGGGGGAAATGGGAAGATGTTGGTCAAAGGATACATAATTATGGTTAGATAAGAGGAATAAATTTCAAGAGATCTATTGTACAGCAAGACAACTACAGTTGGTGAAATATTGTATTCTTGGTAAATGTAAAGAGAGTGGATGCTATTTGCTGTCATCACAAAAATGATGACTAGGTGAGGTAATGTATTTGTTAATTACCTAAATTTAACCATTCTATAAAGTGTATGTACTTCAAAACAGCATGTTGGACACAATGCTACCTGCCAATTTTAAAAAAGTAAACTTTTAAAAATAAAAAAAGCATAAACCATACTAAAAAATCAAGAGCCAGGAAAAGATGCAAGACACAAACAGACAAAACAAAAAAGAAAATGATGGAGCTGTGATTTAAACACTGCCTGGACATTTTTTTTTTAATTGTTTTTAGTAGAGACAGGGTTCCGCTATATTGGTCAGGCAGGTCTTAAACTTAGGTCATCCTCCCACCTCAGCCTCCCAAAGTTCTGGGATTACAGGCATGAGCCAATGCACCTGGCCAAGCCTGGACTAACTTTCAATGTTGCTTTCTGTTCTGCATGGTGTTGCCTATTTTAAGAGAACTGCGTGATGCCTCTTGCTTGTTCCACTCTTGGGTCAGAGATATCTCCCTGGCTGGAAATGAAGTAGTGGCCACAGTTGGTAGGGTCCAATCCCCCACAGCTGGCTCATTTCTCAGTGAAGTGGTTATTGTGTTTGCAACTACAGATCAGACCTTGAATAGCAATATACCCATTAAGATAGTGTCTCTGACAGAAATAGGCTGTCAGTTCTACCCCTTATATTACAGCACTCCTTAACCACTGGAAAGACTTGTGAAAACACAAAACATTCTCTGCATGGTGTCTTTAAATGGGAAGCACACAGAAATTTACTTTTTCTCCTTGAAAAAGCTCCAAATTAAATGGATAAAAGAAGCTTAGTATTACTGCTTTTGTTTTCGCAGCTGCCAAAATAACTCTGGATCTCCTGGTTCAACTGATAATAACCTTAGCTGAAATTACATGTGTCTAAAGATAGAAGATGCAGGGCCAGGCATGGTGGCTCAGGCCTGT